TCCATGTGTGTCAGAGTAGAACTGTGTTCTGTATGGTTTTAAATGGCTGATTTTTTAGAAGTAGATCTCCAGGCCTTTCTTCCTAGGTGCCTCTGGGTGGGCTCAAATTACCAACCTTTTGGTTAGTAGCTGAGCACGTTAACCATTTGTACTATCCATTACCTCAGACGCCCATTAAGAAAAAGATGGTAAAATTGACATTCTCAGCAACCACTCTTGAAAGAGGTATTACAGGATTTGCTATAAAGGCATATTCCTGATGCATTGTGAGGTTCAAGTACCTGATAAAACTATTTTAGGTAATTATCACATTTCCCTTTGGTCACCACTACTCTGATGGTCCCTGGCATTGTGACTTTCCTCACAAAGAAGGCTTAACCTCATAAGCTGTCAGCAAATCATGGCAGTTCTGCTTCTGTAAAGGAAGATAATAAACTTCTGCCCATTAAGAGGCCAGGGACTTCCCCATAACTCTATCTCTCAAGGACGTCTAGAGGTGCCTATTGCATGTCACTATCTTTTTTAAAAGCTTTGCTTACAATGCTAGGCAGGGAATATGTCCTAGGATTCTGTTTATAGCTCTGGTTGGAATTGCCTGTCTGGGAGATTGATGTGAAATACGTTCTTAATGTGAACTCAGTATTATGTGTCATTTAACATGAGAAGGGGCATGCCTAAAAGAGTGGTTTCAAATCCATCTAGTCCATTATTTGCAATTTGTGCAAAGAGTGGCAAGGAACATGCAGTAGGAAAGAAAAAGAGGTCTGAAAACACAGTAACATGTTACAACAAACAAATGTGAATGATTTGACAACATTGGCCTCCAAAAGAAAAATCAAGATTACGTTCCATTGCAATTATCGGTTGATTTTGCCATGATTGAGTTTATGGGTAACCCCTTCACACATGTTCATTTTCCATTACTTTGTATTGTTGCACAAAGACATTAACATTGATGGTGGAATAAAAAGAACTGGATGTTCAAATCACAAAAGTCTCTTTCATCTCAAATAGAATATTGGTTATTCAAATGTGATTTATCTTTCAAGGTTAAAAATAGGTTTTTGTGCTAATGAGAAAAGTCTTCCATATGCAGATTTGATAAAGCAGTACACCTTCTAATTAGGGAGAAACACATTAAATCCTGGTGGAAACACCTTCCTTTATGACATGATTTTTTTTTTTCCCAAGTGAAAATTCATGCCTTCTTAATTTGAAAACATGACAGGTAATTTTTTTGGTCTGTGTTTTCCAAGTTTTTGGTATTGATCATGCAGTTATTTCATAATTTGAATAAGATGCTATTAAAATAATTTTAAAAAGTAACCCAAAGGTGTTGAGTGTGAATTTATTAGTTCATGCATTAAAAAAGGAAGTGGAGAAATGAAGTTCTGCTGCATGCCAATAAGTCGGTGGCAAAAGGCCAAGCATTGTGTGATTTTACTTATCTGAAATATGCAAATATATAGAAACCAAAGATTATTAGTGGTTATCAGGTGAGGAGAGAGGAGGAAAAGGGGAGTTTTTGTTTAGGGAGCATTGAGTTTATGTTAAAGGTGGTGGAATAATTTGAAAAAGGATAGTGATAATGGTTGCACAACAGGAGGAACATAATTAATGTCACTGAGTTATCCAGGTAGAAGTAGTTGGAGATTGTTTTGTTGTGTGTATTTTCACTACAATAAAGATAAATATAAAGAATAAAACAAAAAAGGAAGTGGATGCTGCACTTGACTTGGCAACAAGGCCATTCCGGAGCTTGGGAATGTGCTTCCTCAAAAAGAAGGATGGACACATGTCAGCAGCTCCGAAATGGCCTATCCTTGCGGAAATGTAAAGAGATAGTGAAGCTCTCGCTTGTCATCACCACGAAATGTGAGAGGTGGAAAATACAGCCAAGGGGAGGACTGATCTTCTTCCTGAACTAGAGGAAGGAAACCTTTCGAGACATTTAGTATGTTTGCAGGACAAAGATAAAGGGAATTGCCCTTTGCCCCAGTGAAAAGACAGCAGAAATAATGTCCTTGGTCGAGGCCTTGGTTTTTATGTTTTGCTTCTCTGGCCTTGAGACCTATCAGAAGGAAATGCCTGAACATTCACAAAACCCTTTCAGACTCATCAGTGTTTTGATTATGAGATGTGAACCTTGCCACATTTGCCTGCCTATAGCACAATGTGATGGAACAAAATCCACTGCAGATTTTGAGTTCTGTTTGCCAGCTCCTATTTTACAAGCTTGTTGTTGTTAGTGTTAGCTACTGTCCACTTGACCCCCTGGGGAGCCCATGCACAATGGAACTAAATGCTGCCTGGTGCCAGACTGTTGTTATCCATAAAGTTTTTACTGGCTGATTTTTGGAAGTAGATCTTCAGGCCTTTCTCCCTAGTCTGTCTTAGGCTGGAAACGCCACCGAAACCTGTTCAGCATTATAGCATGTCCACTGAGAGACAGGTGATGACTGTGTATGATGAGGGGCACTGCTCGGGAATCAAATGTGGGTCTCCCTCATGGAAGGCGAGAATTCTACCACTGAACCACCAATGCTCCCCTTTTACAAGCTACCCCCTGTCTAACAAGGGCTCAGAGAAAGGGCATAATTTTATTCATCTTTCATTATCAGAAGTCCATTTTGACTGTGAGTCATTCATTCATTTATTCTTGAAACATTTATTTAGAGCCTTTTTTGTCACGCACTTTGCCAAGTACTTTCACCTATATTAATGTTTTTAAATCTTTATGCTAGTTTTTAATATAGGACTTTTAACCCACATCTGACAGGTACGGAGTCTGGGGTGTAGGCAGAAAATAACTTGCCCAAACTAGCAAGTGATGGAATTAGGTTCAAACCTATGGCTTTTTGTAGTAGGTCCAGTGTTCTTTTGTCCTCTGTGGTCCATCATGTATGATGTTGGAGATGCTGACTTTTGTACTGCATTTTGGACAAAGCCTTTTCTTTTCTAGGGTGTATCTCATTTACTATCATCGGATTATTTTTTGTGGGTTAGAAAACAAGAAAAGCAAATCTGAATGTTCTTTCTATTGTATCAGAATTCTGTGAGAATTGGATGCTATCGTGACCACATTTGGTGCTAAAACAGTCCTGGAGTGAGCAGCCAGTCCATGAAATCTGGAAGTCTGGGTTAATCACTGTGTACTTCATTCTGATGTGCTTAGAATGCTGTGCTCACATTCTGGGGTGAAAACTGAGGACAGAGCAGTTAACAGAGGGAAGGCCAGAATATTCTAAACCCCCAAACCTTGACTTTTTTTAGGGCAAG